ACGCCTTATAGAACTCTTAAAATCTGATCGTTGTGCAAACAAAATTTATACTCTATATTATTTAGCTAATTTCAAACAAAAATTGTGTTTTTGACCATAACGATTGTCATCAGTATAAAAATAACTTACAACCTTAAGGCATCAGTACCAACTGCTCTAATTGGCTGGTTTCAGAAAATCGCATTTTTCTTTTTTAAGTTTATTGATGCCGGTTTCCTCTATATGTTTATAGCATTACTCTGGCAAATAAATTATTGGTCAGTTTTCGGCGTCTATCCAATTATTAGCTTGTTCTATAACGAAGCGCTGATGCCCGGAAACAAATGGTGCTTTCATCTTGTGTGTTTTGGTAATAGATATTTTTCTGCTGATCATTTCTTTTGCGGTATTGTTTTTTATGATTTTTATGTTCGATTTTAAGGATCAACTTATTTAACAAAAAATTGATTTTGACCCTAGAAATGCGATAATAAAAAATTACCAAATTCAGATTTTCTACAACATTTCTAGAGTCTAGGACGTTTGAGTTCTGGTAAGAAAATATTTTTAATTGCTTTAAATTTAACAAAAATTATTCAATAATGTAATTTAATTATTTATTGTAATAATTTATTTTGAAAATATTTTAAACAATTTAAACTACTGTAATAGCCAACCATTCGTGAGCTTTCAACTTTTCCCAAAGTATTCTTTGATGTAATTTTTGTTGTTTACGCCAATAGTTAATCATAAATACTAAATTGTAATTAAAAAATGATATCTCATTTTAGATTATGGTATTAAAATTTTAATCATGGTTTTATATTTATCTTTTTATTTGATTATAATTGTTTGGAGCATAGATTTCGATACAGTTATCAACGGCGTAGTGATAATCGTACAAATGAAATGTCCAAATTTATTTTTGTAATAATTTTCATTTTTTCCATATTTATGATAAAATTAAACGATAAGCGGCAGAATAATCTTACTCATTATACAAACAAACTAAACAAATTATCGTTATTGGAAAATAATGTAATAGTACTTTGCACAAAGATTTCAAATATATATCTTACATGTTAGTTTAGACATTAGGGAAACAAACTACTATTAGATTGGACTCTACTTATTATATTATATTCTAAAAAAATATATAATAAAATAATATAATGATTTTAACGACATTTCTTTACATTAGCTAAGATAATAAATAAATAAATTCAAAATATTTATTTTGTAAAGCGCACATTTTTTTAAACCAGACGTGCTTTATTCAGCTTAGTTTTATGTAAATATAAGTTAAAGCAAATATAATTTAAACTAAATTTAGCGTCTAAATAATTTTTTTGTTTGTTAATTTATAGTAAAAGATTTACGACATTGAAGTTACTATTTTTTATCATTGCCTATTATTTCTATAAATATATTTATATATTATAGTTTTGTCAATAAAGATAGTATATCGATCAAGCTGTAATTTTGCGGTGTAGATGAAGATATATATAGATTGTTGTTTAATTTATTTTGCAATTATTTTTGGTAATAAATAGCAACTATCGCACTTATCCAATAGATATTAATTAATATTAAATGAATATTAACAATTAATATTCTAATCAATGATCAATAGTTTTCATTCCTTTCTTTGTGAAAATACGTTTGGTACAAAGTCAAAAACTTACATAACATTTTTATCTAGTTAAGAAATATTCAATATATATGAATGTGGTTATTATAAATATAATTATGTTATAAATTCGTTTTTTTTGAAAATACTTTCGGTACAAAGACAAAAATTTACAAGACATTTCCTTAATTTTTAGAAGCCACATATTTATCCAGTAAACGAATATTCAATATAATTGAATATAATTATTACAAAAATAATTATGCTATGTATTCGTTTTTTTTTAAATACTATCAGTACGAAGTTAAAAATTTACAAAAGTTCTTACTAATTTTTAGAAGTCACATACCTATCTAGTAAACAAATATTTAGTATATTTGAATATTATTATTAGCAACATAATTATGCTATGTATTCGATTTTTTCGAAAATACTTTCGGTACGAAATCTAATATTTACAAGACATTTTCTTAATTTGTAGAAGTCATCTATCTAGTAAACAAATATTTAATATATTTGAATGATTATTACAAAAGATCAACAAATTTTGGATTGAATTAGAAAACGTTTTTATGGTGCACTTCAAGTGTTTTTGTTGCTTTGATTTAAATACGCAAAAAATCCTTAAAGTAATAAAACTATATTCTTAATAATATCTCTATACTCAAATACATATATGGGTGTGTGCATTAAAAATCATACCATATTGCATTACTTTTCCTCTGTCTATAAGTTGAAAAAAAATACTTGACATAACAATTTACATATTCTGTATTCACTAACATATCATCGCATTACATCTCACCTCAAGATCATCCCTTAATTTCCCATTATTAACATTTCACTTTGTGCCGCACCCCACTGAAATACTCCCCTCAATACAAATCTCATCACGCATTTGGCGGTATGTGATTTTATTAACAGATCATTTCGCCCTTAGGGTTCAGCATCCCCCTTGGATGTAAATAAAACAACCCCAGCGTTGTGTCAATTGTATATTAGTGCAACTTAGTTTACAGGTCATATACTACGGTGGGACAGTGTGAGGAACAAGTGAAATTGTACCTGTGCCCCATATAACCTGCAGCAACTAAATAAGTGTATGGCCATATAAACCTGTGCTTCTTCTTCTTGGATGTTAAGTTGAAGAATATGTGTATATTACCACTATATGCGGCAATAAACGCATGTGTAGACTTACAGAACAATATATAAGGCAAATATGATAACGAGTAAACAAATCCAAAATGAAGATGTGTGGTCTTATATTTGTTCATTGTATTTCTTCTAATATGTTTTTATAATTTAATAAAGCGAATGTTTGAAATGGTAATAAAAACAGGTAGAATTATTATAGTAGGTTATTACTACCTACTTTCAATTAATTCCGTATAAAATGTGCATAAAATAAATACTTTGTCAATGAAAACATAGTTTTCTAAATGCATCTGAAAATCTCAATTCAATATTTTCCAGATTTTGCTAAATAATCGTTAAATATAATCATTAGAAAAAACAGCAATTCGGCATCTACTTTATATTTTTATATATCCATATTTAATAACTCATGTTTTAGTAGCTAATATCTTTGCATTTAGATTTAATTATATACTTCAAACAAAATATTTCCCAGATCGTATACGAAAGATTTGAACATTTGAAAACCTTCAGTGGCATTATTAATTACTAACTACGCTTGGAGCCTCTTTAACAAGTCTCCAAACATAATTTATTGCCTAATTTTTACCTACCTTTGTTGTTAGAGCGGTATGGGTTCAGGTTGAAATAATTGATCTACAGATTCACTTGCAGTCAAGTAATAATTAGTCGAGACCGATAATTATAGTGCTCGACGTGCGTTGTACCCACCCTTCGGAGTACACCCTTAAAAAAGGTAAAAAGTATAAACTAACCTGTTAAACAATGCATTGCGATTAGTATTCTCTTAGGGAAAGAGGCGTGTTTGCTATTGACTTTGTGCTTTTGCTATTTGCAAGCTGTCTAAAAAGAAATTTTTGTTTTTTTTTTTGTTATTAATGTACTACACTAACACATTCTGCATTGCCATTAATTACGAAAATTATTTTTAATCACGATCAGACTTCAATTTGAACTGCGTAACTGCAGATTATACAAGGCTATTGATTCAGTTGATAATATTTAATGCTTTAACGATGCAATATTGGTACAGGTTAATAATTACATAATGACATTTAAATGTGCGTATCAATATGCTATTAATTTTTTATTAACTTTTTGAACATTTTGGCAACCCTTTCGAAAAACCAAATGCATGCTTGTGTGAGTGTGTGGATACAAATTTTTGTCGACGATTTTGGGAAAACGAATTTAAAGATTTGATTAATTGAAGAAAACATTCGATTCCTATTGGTGGGGAGAAGTGCTGATGTTTTGTATCTAAAACAACTATGCAAAAAAAGTTCAAAATTTTCCTAAACTATGATATATAAACATGACAAAATGCTAATTGAATTTTTTTTTCAAAAATTCTCAAAAGTCTAGTTTTTCAAAGTTTAAAAAAAATTGAAACTTTTAGAAATTTTAAATTACGGTGAGGCAAGTTCCAGCAATTTGCCTTAAGGCACGATGCCATGCACTACTAGTTTTATTATCATTAGTTGTATGGCTTCAAGTGAAAGAGTAGCGGTGTCGGTCGCAATGGACCTGACGCTGCGGGATTTCCATACAGCGCGAAACCCATTAACTGTACCTACCTGTTTCGCATGGCGCGGTGGTTAGTGAGGTGTTTAGAAAGCGCTTGATCATTGCACGTGCATATCGAGGGATAATTTGCTAAAGCATAGGAATGCGAAGACGCGAACGCATATTAATATCAAATTACAGTTTCGCATCAAAAGTAACGGGCAATTTTCGAAAACCACGTGCACTTTGGGTTACCACCCTCACATATAGAGCACACGTGTGACTCACCCCCTCGTTTTGATATCGTGTTCGGACTTGATACACGCATACATTCGACGTATATGTACCAAAATCTCTTCTCTCGCAAGCCAGCTGTCGTTCCAAGTGTGGGAACTCGGTTCGCGGACGCTTTCCCACGATTTTTGCCCATACGATCAACTTGTTTGTGTTTCGGGGTACCTTGAATACTCATCGACCCTCGTCCCTTTCTCGCAGCCGCGCTCTCGATGCGGCTCTCGCTCTCGCACCGCGCCACGACGCACCTGCCCTTTTTACGCGCCCCCATTGGCTCGCGTTTCCAATGCTCGTATATACAAGTATCTCGGGAATACACTGACTATATACAAGATTCGGGTAGTTTCGGGGGCGTGACGTCACACGAACAGGGTATATAAGGCCGACCAAATCACAGATCTTCACATTACCACGTTTAACGTCGTACAGTAAACATTCAGAGTTCTTACTCAACTAACTAACAATATTATCAATTATCCAGTGATATTAATTATAACAAGTGTCAACATGTCTGCATTTTACGAAGAATACGCAAGCATCGTCGACAACGGTTACAACAACCGTAAAGTCGCTTCAAGAAAAGCGGCTTTCCGTATTAAGAGTGCTTTGAAGCCTTTGCTCAGTATGCTGAAACGTCGTCGTAGTGCCAAGAATTGTGCTGTGCCAGTGCCACCTCCATGCGAAAGCCTGGACAATTCAGCTAATGAACTCTTGGAACAAAGATTATTTGCTGAAATTGATTCATGCAGACCTGGTGCTGCAATCTGGACTCAAAACAATGAAGATTCCACTTGGGAAGCAATGTCAATTTACCCCGGTGCCCGTTATGTGCCAGTACGTTTCGCAAGAACTGAAGCCGGTACCTTCTTCTGGACTACCATCGCACCAGAACAAGCCGACCAGGACCTGCTCAGACCATCACACTGTTACACCGAATGTCAAGCTCCCTGCATGCAAGACCGATGGGTTCAAGCTTAAATTTCAATCAACCCATTTGCCTACTAAAACTACTTATTTGCGGCAGAATGAAAAAGGAGCTTCCTGACAATTTGTGATATTTCGATTTTATGTGAACCTCAGAGTTCGTTGTGATCTTCGTTGCTTTAACTTTAACTATTTTAATGTTATTAGAATATACAAAAACAAAACGTTTTACTATATTTTTAATTATATAATTATTATAAAGAGATAAATTGCAATATTTGCAAAAAAATGTCTTCCATTTTTATATTTTACTATTTATGTTAAATGTTATTAATAAATAAATATTATTATTAAACAAAATTATATTTGTTCTCATTATATTTATATGTGTGCAATATTATTTTTTACAGGTTTTTTTTAATATATAAATTTTGAAATCATCATATTTTTATATAATATACATTTTTTAATAAGAATCATATTTTTATACATCAATTCGTATAAACATTTCTAACTTGGAATTCAATAAAAAAAAGTGCTATTTTTGTTGTGTGCTGTATTATATTTCTAATACAAATTCATATTCCGAAAGTTTTATAACTAGTTTGTTATATGCGAGGGTTTGATTTTTGAAAAGATTTCCTAGACTTGTTTTTTGAAAGGGTCCCAGAGTACAAAAAAAATCTTTAGAATTATAAATGTGCTTAAAATTCTTTGTAAAGAAAACTAAGTAGGATCCCAGCACGAAACCCAAGAGTTTCTTTATAAAAAAGCTGTCGCCGTCTCATTCCCTCGCGTTTCGGCTTTAGCGCGGCACTCTTCTTGCATTCGTATAAGGTTCCGTGTTATATAATACTTTTTGAGCGTAACTAATGTTTTTTGTATGTTTCTTCCTAGTCCTTTTCTTACAATAAAAATATCCGATCCTTCTAGGTTCTAGGATTTTAGGCGGGCTTCGAAGACCGCATTCCTTTCTAGGTATAATGAATAGATGTAAGGCGAGATATAACATTAAAGCAGGTACATTTAGACAGTATCGCTTCTGGTGATATTTTATTAAAAATTACATCTTGACGTCGTGGTATATGCTAAGGACATTAACATTTCAAATGCATAAAATGACATTAGGAACGTTCATAGCCGTTAATCATAATATACGGAACATTCACTCATCAAAAAAAGCTGTTGCAATCTCATTAGAATCTCATTGCATTCCCATTCCTGTTAGAATTTCCATGTAGATCAGGAAAGCTTTCTAATAGTTTAATAACGATAATATTGCGTTTATTGCACACATTGTTCATACTGTAATTATATTAATTATTTTGTATGTAAACATACACGTTCATGCAAAGTTTCAAGTAACTTTATAATATGAATCTGAATAAGAATCTACCACGTGGACTATTGATATAAATTATTCCCTTGTTTTTTGAATATAAAAAATATTGGAAAATATATTACTGCAGTATGGGGATAATCTGAATTTATGTATTATTTCTCAAAATATATTTGCATAAAAATAATTTGGTACCAATTTACATTTGAGGACAATATTATTTTGCTTGGTGATTTATAACAAATTATAACAGAAAATAATCATAATTTACAATTGATGATATAATTACTTCAAATATAAGATTTTATTTAGCAAATCTGCTTTTTGATACACTGATTATTTTTCAACATAACCTTGGAATTTATTATACACTAGCCGGCCCGACAGACTTCGTCCTGTCAAAAAAAATTGTAATGTGGCGGTGTTTTGTGCCTACCTTTTTTCTATTCTTTGCAAAAAATTATCCTGAACAGAACCCTGGTAATAATTCGCTGTGATTAAAAATAATTAAATAAAACACTATAAGCATTAAGTAATTTTAATAATGTAAATCATAATTCAAAAATCAGTACAATTTTCATTGTAGGGCTTTGTGATAAACGATGTTTTTTGTTTGATTACCTGGCGCATAGACAAACAAATCTGATGGTTTTCCAATACGGGAACAAACAACATACAGTTTTCCATGTGAGAAACATGGGTTTTCTAAATTAATACCTCAAACACTTAATGATACCATAACGCACTGGAAACGCAATGGGATGCATGGTGCGAGAACATGTTCTGCTTTATACTATCCTTTCAATATAGTTGGTCAATATTTCGCACATTATAATTGCCGATCCACCCTTTCATTGAAGATTGTGAGGTGACAATCCTAGAAAATCCAGCGAGTTTAAAAACTCCGGTGGATCGTCTTGGTTAGTTGCCGAATCAACTGATTCGCCTGTAATTTGTTCTTGAATTTTGAAATTTAATTCATTTACATCAATGTTTTTGGCTGCCAATATAGCTTGATTAATAGAACGATATTTCTATGTTTATATAAATATATTTAAAATTAGATTATCAAAAACTACACAAACTGTCATGACATATTGATAGATAGATCATTGTTTTTTTTACAAATTGCGTTGCCTACTCGATTAAAGAAGAAAAGGGCTGTTTTTAGGGTTTTCCCGGCAATTATTCGTTTTTTTCTCGCCGTAACAACCATCCTTGGACTTCAACGAACATTTTAAAAAAATAATTGGCCAAATTGGTCCAGGCGTTGTTGAGTTATGCGCTTACCAACACATTTTGCGATCCATTTTTATATATAAGATTAGATGGGATTTTTCAATATGCATGTTGTAAGAAATAGATTTATACACTTGTAAATGCCTTACATTAAAAGTGCATGACAAAGTATGTAAAAGGCTAGTATCTAGAGTAATAGAGAATATATACCAAATAGATAAAGCAACCTAATTTTTCAGAAATTATATACATTTTATAATTATATGCACTTTTTATTTTCCCATAGAACCATTAAATATTATATCACTGCTAAAACCTTGAAATTTTATCAAATTATATTTATTTATTTTGATTTTGATAATTTCCACATGATGTAATTCCCAATCGATGTGACCTTAAAAAACATATTTTAATATCGATTAAAATCATAGGTGCATATAATTATAAACATTGTTATATCGCATTCTATATCTGTTCCAATCACAATCATAAAATGATCTTTAATTAAATATTTCGAGTATGTTTTCGTCTATCGTAAACAACACGGAATGCGATGCTCTGATAAGAATTAACAAGAATGTTACCATGTTACCAGGTAAATAAGTCAATTAATTCACGGTGCTTTAATTAGAATTTGATCACGATGTATTACTAATTGAAATCACAAAGTATGTAGGCGTGTTTATGTAAATATTTAAAAAAAGTGTAATCAGTGAACTAGGATTAATGTATCAATATTGAGAACTTGGCTGATTTATTGTGTACGCCTTCCACGTAAACGTACAGGTAGAGATTGGAAATAGGAAAGGTTATTATACTTTTTATATGAAAGGAGAATAATTTACCTGTTACGAACGGCGTGGAAAAATATTATTTATGATTAAAACCACCGTAATCCATAACAGAGCTTTATGTAATTAAAGGTATTAACATTTTTTCCCATATATATTAAAATATAAATTTAAATTATTTATTTTATAAATGGATGCATAATAATGCATAAATAAAATGTTTGTTCCATGGAGTTGTAGAAAATATATCAAATTATACATTACAAAAAATAATTTATTAGAAGATTAATGTAATTGAATCAATTATTATTAACTTATAATATTATGTATATATGAGAACTCTACAAGTAGACGTATTTTCTTCAAAAATTATATTTTTCTGTATTATAAAAGCATTACAAAAGTATTTGTTATTTTAATAAAAATAAAGAATATCACTCGTTCATCTCAAATGCCAAAACTTAATTTTCTGAATAGTTGTTACCCTGAAAGTATTATTTGGCTCTTATAATTCAAAACATTGGTCTTCATTGTATATGTTATGACATAAAAACTTTAATTATAGTGATTAATTTATCATAAAATAATCAATTGACTATCATATGAAAAACATATATGATAGTTTACCAGCAGAAATTTTTGCAGAATTTATGTTACCATTATTTGCAGAAAGTCCAGTTTGGCTTTTTGCAGTGGATGAAATTCACAAGTTTTTTATAAAATAAAAAAAAAACAAGTTATAAAATAGACTTGTATAACAGTCATGCTTATTTAAAATAATTATCTATTTAGATAATAAATATGTAGAGTTGTGTGAACTGAATGAATATAGTGGTGTACATTTTTGTATATACATATATGTAATACATATATATATATATATATATATATATATATATATAGATATATATATACATATATATATATATATATATATATATATATATATATATATATATGGGTAGAGTGGGGCTTAAAAGTCCAAGGGTAAAAAAAGTTTACCACCGATATCTAAAAAACGAGTAAAGTTATGATTTTTTTAACAACAATATTTAAAAGTAGAGAACTAATGTATAACCAGCCATAGCATTAAATCAAGCAAATCAGTTGTGAGCACTGTTGTTTAGTTTTCAAGACTTTAATATAGTTTTATAACATACCTTATTTAATTGTTTTGTAATATTTTTTTTTAAGTTAGATCTAACAGTTTTTTATATAACCCCTTACATGTGAGTGGAGTAAAAAGGACAAACTGGACCTTTACCCTGGCAAAGGTGTAAACAATAAAAAAACAGTAATTAAATAAGTAAATCAAATTAAAAGAAGCAATTTACAATATATAAATTAAATAGTTATTCCAACTCTGCCTATAAATATTTTTGATAAAATACCGGATCAAGGTTATAACTATGTGATCTTTGTAAAAACTGTTTCCAAAAAATTTTTATTTTGCATTGGTTAAATAATTAAGCTATTAATTTGTAAAAATTTTTAATATTAAAACTAAGACATTGTATTTGGTTGCCCGATGGCTGTCCCTATTCACCCTGCCTATGAGGTAAAAAAGTACAGATAACAAATTTTTGAAAAACTAGTTGAAATACATATTTCTATAATTAGGAATTAACTAATTATTTTACTGAACATAGTTCGATAGTTGTATGTTTGGTAGGGGTTAAGCATTATGACTTATAATTAGTCAAATTGGACCTTACTGCCCAGTCCTATTTCATATATAAATATAATTATATTATTCATATACACTAAACTAGCTAAACTTCTTACTATCGCAATTAAATATGTAAAGAAATACAGAAAACTAAATCTTTAGATACGACATTAAAAAAGTTGTAAAGATAAATGCCGAACTTGATTTATATTTGCTTTTAAATCAATTGCCTGTCTTCCATGGGAACACTTTCATATATGTCGTGTATAATAAATTCTCTTACATTTCATGAATATTACTTCACACCTGCACAAACAGCATATTTACTACTGAAGATATCGCTATTTTATGATATTTATCAACAAATCAGATTTCTTGCGCGATAGCTTGAACAAATCATGACGGAATATTTCCAAGTTCGTTGGAATATTTTTCAAGCAATAATATGTTGCTAAGTCAATTTGATATTTCCAAAAACACTGCTGACCTAATATTCGAGTTTTTACCATTTCCGTTCGTTTTGTTCGAAATTTATCTTGATTGATTGCATAAAATAACGATAAGTGTAACGAAAGTTTCTATTATGAAACGCACAATTCTTTATATATCGATTCATAGTTTTTAATTAAATTCTAAAAGAAAACACAATTACAATGTTCAATGAGTAACAAGTATCAGATTAACAATCTGCAGCATTACATTCTTCATATATTTCAATAATTTAGCAACTGTCGATTTTTTTGTGTACTAGTTTACCGCTGGTTAATTAGAACTGTAAATTAACTATATGTAGAGTAAAGTTATAGTAATATAGTAATAAGTTAATAGCTCATATATTTATGACAATGCATTTCAAATCTTTTTTTAAATGTGATTTAGTCATAAAAATATTTGCTATTCGAACATGTTCATAATATCTTTGAAAAAATCAATCTTTGAAGCTAAAATTATAATACATTTTAACAACCAAGCAGGATCTTTTATAAAAATATAAATTTTGTAATATAATGTTTTGTGTTTTTTTTATATTTATGGTATGATTTTTTTCTCACGTTTTTCTAAGCAAATAGTGATTATTGATTATAATAACATTTACTCTCATAATAATTAAAATAATTAATTTTATTAAGAGTTTTTGATGAAGGAATACAATAATTATCTATAGATTTAGAAGTATTAGTTCACTTGGTCTACGTGAATTTAATAGCAATTGTTTGAATTTTTTTATCACTTATATATTATAAATATATTTGCTCATGTAATTTTTTATTTTTCAGAAATCTGTGCAAAAAATGGCCGTTGTCTATCACAGTTGCTATTGTCCTAAACAAATATATAATACTATGAAATAGCATATGGAATATTGGAGAGCATCATAGACCATAGATGGTGAGTACATACTAATAATATTTTTGTATTTAATTGTAAGATATGCAGCTCAAAATGAAAATTAATAGACATAAAACTCATTGCAAGCATAATTTTCTTAACGAATTTTTATCACCACTTTCTTAAATATGGCAAAATATTATTCAAAAGATCTATTAATACAACTCATTGATTGAAAGAGATTAGTTCGTAGTATATCGTATATTAGTTCGTATAGTATATAGGTAGATTTAAATTGCAAAGTGCGCATCTTTTTTTCTTACCATGCTATAATATTATAATTTGATCATTTTTCTAAAGATTTCTACTTTATTATTTGCCTTTGAAATTGATAAACCTTGTCATAATCAGAATATCATAATCAGATGATATATCAGATATATCTTCTATATCAGAAGAAAAGCGTCGATCTTCAGAAATTCAATTTTTTGATAATGAGACTATATTCGCGAGATATGTTTTATATGTTTTACTCGTACTTTTCAGTATTTTGTCCTTTGAAGTTTTGTCTTTATCTCCTTCATTAAATTTAGGGCTCAACTCTCCGAATAAAATAGTTGCCGACTGCCGATCTTTTTTGTTATAATTGCACAAGTTGGTAGTTACATATATCAAAAAGCTATGTCTTCGCCGTTTAATAAAGCAATTTACACTATATCAATTTTTAAAACATAACCTCCTAATGCCACAAACGTCAGAGTATAGCATTAGTTTGATAACATGCACGTGTTATAAGTGCCAGAAAAAAGTTGCAGTTATGATCACATTGTTAGTTGACATATGTACCATTTGGAGGTTAGGTTTTAGAAGTCGATATAGCGTAAATCGCTCGATTAAAGAGCAAAGAAATTGCTTTTTGACTGTTCGTGACTACCAACTCATGCAATTATTCAACAAAATAGACAGGCAATATAGCATAATTACCTGATCCAGAGAGTTGGCCACTTAATGTACTAACGCTACATTCTCAAAAGTCCTCTATGTTAGTGAGTGGAGTTGAACTCCAACAAGGATCAGGAAAGTTTTATTAGTTGTTATTTATTTTTTTATTGTTATTTTAAATCCATAATTATAGAAAGTTTCTCAATTAAAACATATTTTTTATTAAAATTAATGCCACACTGTGATTAGGCAAGACTTCTAAAGGGCCGCCCATTAGTCACGTGATCGATTTCAAAGAATTTTTGGAGCCCTCCCAGTACTTTGGTGATATTTAAAATTTTCACCTCCTTCACCAAACATCACGTGCATTTGTAGAACGTAGAGCAAAATCGTAAAATTTTAATTTTTTTTTTTTGATAAGTTTTTGATTTCTTTTTAAAACTCAAGAAAAAAATAAACACACGACATCTTACTAGACCATCCCCTCACGTTTTATTTCAAGATTTTTTGTCAATCTCCCCCCTAACCAAAATACCGCAGAAAGCTTCAAATATAAATTTATCAATAAAAAATTACTTAGTAGTGTATATTAATCGTTGTACAAATATCATTGCCCTTTCTTCAATTTACATTTGATGAACACACTTTCCCCATCATCGGACGCCAATTAATTCTTAAAATGCATCCGTTCCAGTTGTGAAGTTTTATATAAACATATATCGATTATTCAATGTATATAAATCGTCGTTCAAGCATTGTCCGTCAGTTTTATTTACAATAAAGTATTTGTTGCAGCTCGTAAAAGAATTTCGCAATTGGATTCTTGTTTCATTCATTCAGCCAGCGCGATAAGTATTTAATCTTATTAACCACGTGTTTCTTGGCTTCGGCATCGTAATTTTGTTCGCGTAGGTTCAGCACTTGTCCGAAGAGTCGGAGAGGTTTTCGATAATAGACAGGTTCAAGGCAGGTTGCTAGTTGTATTTGCTAAACGATGTATTAACAGCAATGTGTGTATTTATATAAAATCTTTGAAGGCATTCATCAAATAAAAAAGGAGAGTGGTGCAACGCATCGTAACTTAATGTTCTAAGATTTTTTGAGTAATTTGATTAATTTTCAAAGCAATCGCGTTTCGTAGCTGTTTTTGAGAGTCTAATAGTTAAACATTACAAACTTTGCTCGGTAACCCATAGAAATGTACACAAAATTTGTAATTAATATTAAAATCTCTATAAAATATTTGATAATTTGGTGTGCACATATCTAATGATCACTTGACCGCCAAATAGCATTTGTTTTAACTTTTTTTTTATTTTTGAAACCGCTAGGCCCGTCTGTCCCAAGAATTCACCAATTCTTCGTTTCTTCACCAATTCTTCGTTTTTTGAATTATTCAAATCGCTTCATCCGTGTTCCCGAAATTTTCGACAAAAATTTGTATCCGCACACACACACATACACGCACACACACACATACACACACACACATACATCCATTTTTTCTAAGGTATACCAAAATGTTCAGAAGGCTTTGAAACGTAAAGATATATAAAAATTTTCATTTTCGATTTTTTTGCGATTGCTATAACTTGCTCTACGGGAAGTTAATAATAAGTCATCCCTATTACATAAATTCTAATAATAAAGTAATCAAATATGGATGGATCAATCGTTGGGTTACCATCTAAACGACGTAGCAAAAGTTTCAATTCAACAGCTCATAGGACGTAAGGTTCTGATTGCTGTTAAAATACGAAAAAAGTATCCGTGTTTAATTTTATTTAATGTTTAATTTAATTTTATGAATGTTGTGCTAGCTCTCCTGCTAAAACTTGCATGTAAACACATTCGCGTGCAGCGCGAGTGGTTCTATCACTTCTTGTTTTTCAATTGTTTCTCGTGGCTATGATGGATGTAAAATAATGCATACCGAGTACCACCAACCAGTCCAATTGCTATTAGAATGCATTATAAGATTGCACGACAAATGCGTATTACTTTACCTAAATCAGTCATTCTAAAACTTTGATATTTACTTTATCTCATAATTAACACTTAAGCAGTTCTATCATTTCAGTAGCAAATTGCAAGCCCATGCAATGTATGGTCGTCTGTGGCTCGATATGGTTTTAATATACTTATACAGTTATTTAATAACTTAATGTTTATCAATATATTTATTTGTACAATAAAACAAATATCTATTTGGAATAAAATAAATTGCTGAATTGAATGAGAATTTGATATCAACGGGATAGTGGTAACAAACTTCACATAATACAATATATATATGAAAGTTATTCACATTTTTTTTAAATTTGTATTTAAAGATACTGAGAACTTCAACACAATATTATACATGGTGCATATGATTGTTAAAAGTTATTTTAAATTTATATCTTAATATTTACAAAATATAGAAAATCTTTAGTCTTTAATATAAATCACATAAGTAATTTGAAAGTTTTAATCTTTTTAGTATGGGACTTAAAGTTTAACACCAAAATATACATATATTATGAAGATTTCTGAGAAATTTTTGTAATTTTTATACATATATCAAATATCATTTGCGGATTCAAAACGGCTGCTTTGAACTTTTTTTCTCCATGAGTTCGAAACTCTTGAACCTGCTTGTTATAAACTAATAGGCTAATTAAGAATATATATTTATTGGTTATTGATTATGTATTAAATTTAGTTTTTCTTAAATTAAAATATAATTTTTTTTCACAGAGATGGATTTTGTTTTTGTTAATAATAATTAAATTGTCTACTGATAAAAAATCAAATTGCGTCTAGAAACGTATGAGAGTTTATTGAAAAATATAATTTAAAATGGGTTAATTATATATTCAATAACTGGATATAGGCTTGTTAAAAAACATTCGGTTTTAGTTAAATATATATTTCTTATATTTAATATTTTATACACTTTTCAATGCTCAGAACATATTGTTCTAAAATTGTTATTGTTAAAAACAGTTTTTCATTTTTCATTTTTTTTGTTATTTCAATAACTTTAGTGAAGATAATAGCTAAAGCTAAAGCTTGGATAGCTATGTTCTTTTTATCATGTCATCGAAATAATTAGGGCGTTTCTTTGGCGTGATGGTTTAACGCGCTGCCTCGTGTGGACGGGGTCCACAGAGATATCGTGCAGCAGCGATGTTCATTTCAATTAAAAATAGCGCATTTCGGGCACTGCAGTGTGAAATAGCAATAGGAAGTCTCTCACACTATTCTTTCCTCAATCGAGTTGCAGTTTAAGTTAGCTCACAAACCTGCGCTAGGGCAGTACTACCCATTATTATTATTATCACCGAAATAATTGGCGAATATGATTATAAATGAAAATTACCTGTTTCTCAAAAAAATATTGCCTGCTAAGCTTATATGATCTCTCTGAATGAGAGGATTAAATAATGTATTATGAATATATTGTATTATGAATACTGACTTATTATTATCATAGAACTTATTATTATCATAATAATGAATCTATTATTCGTATTAAATCTCAATGCTCATTCTTCATGTCAATTGATATTATTCAACAGCTATGCAAAAACTGTTCGCAACACTCGATGTGTTTATTATAAATGTTATAAATAATAATTAGTTGCCATTAAGATTTGAATCGACACGAAGTCATTGAAAAACAAAACCAAACAGCGTAGAGAATTAGCGCGCGTTGTAAATCTTTTCCAGCTCATCTAGGGCTGTTAAAACGAGAGAAAATCGAATGCAATTTATTATTATCAATCAAAATTGGAATTTCATTTTAGTGTTATTTGCTTGAAGAAATTTATCAACTTGTAGACATAGTCACAATCAATCTCTTTTACTACAACAATAGAAATACAGTTATGTTAACAATCTCTATGAATAATTAGCACCAAGCTGTGCCAATGACCAAATCTTCTTTATGGTAAATCAAAATTTTGTTGATGCGTTTTGGCACATCATTTATGGTTTTGGATCATATCTCACCTAAATCAATATATTTCGAAAGCGCAAGATATTGACTTTTATTTTGATTCGACCAATTGAAAATTTAAAACCGTTATGAGATACGATATGGCTCATTAGAAAACCATTTTGCGCCAGCGAAT